GCATCTTAGATATTAGTCGACTCAACTGTCCATAGAATTCTTAGCAATATACACACAAATTATATATACAATTAAAAGCTTTTTTTTTTCCAAGTAATAAAAGATTGGGCTCTCCTTTCAACTTCGGACGGTAGCTGGACGGCTTAGGTCGGCTTAGTGGGAGTTCTCTCCCTTGGCCGCATTGCAAACAAGGAGCGGAAAAGTCATGAATCAAACGACATACTTACCTATCATCATACGGTTGCGTGTAGGGTTGCGTAGTCATCATACGGTTGCGTGAAGGGTTGCGTAGTCATCATACGGTTGCGTCTAGGGTTACCTATCATCATATGGTTGCGTGTACGGTTGCGTAGGGTGTCTATCATCATACGGTTGCGTGTAGGGTTTGGGATAGGGTTAGGGTTAGGGGTAGGGTTAGATGTGAAAAGTTTGACGTAGAAGTTCCAAATACTGGCCGACAATCTGATGCTTCTGGGAGTGGCGCCACTGGAATTCTGGCAAATATGACGGCAATAGCGCGCGGCTGGTGCCCAATCAGTGGCCACTTGTCCGGTTCAGTAGCATCCACAGTCCGTCGACTGTTTGGGTGTGTATGTGACTGTGCGCGATTATAGTGAACTCAGGCGTCAAAATTGTCACATCTAACGCTAAACCTAACCCTAGCCCTAAACCTACCTCTATCCGTAACCCTAACCCCAACCCTAACCCTAAACCTACCCCTAACCACGAAAAAAAAATACACCTGATTTCCCCGCAGCGTCAAAAAAAAAAAAAATCCAGATCTGGGGGACACAACCAAGCATTGGCAGCCCTGATGTCGACCTCACTGTCTTCTTTGATTCGTGACTTTTCCGCTCCTTGTTTGCAATGCGGCCAAGGGAGAGAACTCCCACTTAGCCGACCTAAGCCGTCCAGCTACCGTCCAAAGTTAAAAGGAGAGCCAAAGATTGATTAACGCCCCCCCCCCCCTTTTTTTGCAATCTTTGTACAGTCAAAACGTCTTGTCTTATAAAAATATAATATTGTTTTCTGTTTTTATCCTTACGTTCCTTTAAGGATATATTACCACGCATGTCTCTTTGATCTAACGTTGCCGCTGTTAATTTATATTGTCTATCAATCTATGGAGTCCCCACCTTCTATCAACATCTCAGTCTGTTGAGCGGCAGACCAGTAAGGGATCTCACAGATATCTTGTTGGACCTCCAAATATGTCGTAATTCGAGCACCCGTAATGGCTACAGCATCCAGGTGTAACCAGCAAGCAGTCTTATGCAAGTTAATGAATGGATAAATGAACCAAGAACTGACATTATCACTGCACTCGGGCTCCGTCTCCATCCTCAGTAGCAAACAAAAAGTCCGCATGCTATTAGCAACCTGATTTAAAAGCCCGCCTGTTTCTCTCTTCGTGAGCTGCTGTGGTGTAGCGGCTAGTTCAAGTCCAACTGCTGCCCGTGGAGTTAGCCTCTTCTAGATAGCATCAGCTATAATTATGGTCCCTATCAGAGCTGTTATTTCATTGTGCGTTTCTCAGAATTCAACTTCTATTGTGCCTGTTTATCACGTATCTGGCCACAGGCTTCTGGTGACCTTTAGGGTTAGAGTTCAATTTTGATCTTGTCAGCTGCTGCCGAAGTTTTGACTGAGACAACAGCGATCTAGCTCGACATTCGCAAATACATATGAAAAAAATCAAGCTTCAGAGCTGTCGTGTTTCACTTTGAAAGGTTTGATGCATTCACTCACTGTATTGTTAAAGGCGCCAATTATCTTAGACTACTAGTACTAGAGACTAGTAGTAGTAGTGAGTCTAGACTCTCTCTAATACTAATAGTACTAATACTATTCTAACAGTGTCTCTCAAACATCAGCTGACTTTAAAAACGGTTATCGTTATCAGTCACATGCATTTTAGCTAATCAGTGCATGCATATAGTATTGGATAATACAGTGAAACATTTTAATAATTATGATATAATAATGAAAGATATTCTCTCCTTCGTGTGCCTCGTCTGGTACAGGACATTGAAGTGTTCAATCACACCGTCCCTACAATGAAGGTTGGCTGTTATGGATCTCGGACGCCCTGAAAGTGACTAGGTGATCCGACTGAAACCCTTTATTCAGAGAGTGCTCTTTAATGTGTATACAAGCAAGATTGCAGAACTTGAATCACCAGGTGTTGTAAGAATATTGACATTTGCCGATGATGTTCTTGCATTTAGGCAGGGGAGAGATAGATGACGGATAGCTCAGGAACTACATGCAGCTGTAGACAAAGTGACTGACTGGTATGCAGAAATGGGTGCTGTCATCAACTCAGAAAAGGCAGCTATTTTATGTTGCTCTCTAGACAGTATGACTGTAAAAGCTAATGTTCCAAATCCTACAGTTAATAACAGTAACATCACTGAGGTACCTGGGTATCTTTTCTACAGAAGCCTGTCCTTCAGGGAACATGTGGAGGCAGTTGCAGTGAAATGCTAAAAAGGACTCAATGCTCTCAAGATTATGGCAGCAGTGGACATGGAACAAAGAATGTTGTTCACAATGGTTCAGCATGATAGATTGGCATGCTTACCATATCAAAGAGTCAGCTGATGAAACTTTAACACAAACAGAATGAAGCCATGCAGGTAATTTTGGGATGTACAAGAGATACCTCGGTAGTATGTATGCAATATATACTTGCACTGCCTACTATTGCAGATAGGCTCAAAGTCATGCAAGCAAAGTCATATCTCAGAGTAGCTGTGGACAAGAGGCACGACCTGTATGAAGCCCTGAAAAAAGCTAAGGGTCACAGACTGAAAAGAGGAAAGTCTTGGATGGCGCTAGCTGAAGACACAATTGGACATGTGAGAGGCTTGATAATATTAGGTGAGGAGAGGAGTGGGTCAAAGGGCCCGATCATATTTCAGACTTGTGAAGGATTCTTATCACTTTTAGACATGAGTGCAGTGACTGGTCAACTGGTGCTGCAGAATCAGAAATTCAACAAATAATTCATGACAGGTGATGTGATTGTCTATACAGATGGCTCTGTGTTGAGGGGCAGATGAACTGCATGGGGGTTCAGAGCAAAGGCGAATGGATGTGCCATTGCTTTCTGAATGTTCAGCTCTCGGTACCACTGTCAAAACCAACGCAAGACAAACTGTCTGCAGCTGGGATCGAACCTGGCATTATGAAGCACGTTCACAACGCCTAAGCCACATATGCCGGCGTAAAAAAATACAACTTGTGAAAATACCTTGGGATGTTCAATACAGATTTGGTAGATTGCAGCACATGAAACAGTGCATAAATAGGAAAAGAATGGCAGAGAAATACGATGAAATTATTACAACAGTGGGGAAAAAAAGGCATGCATGCAGATTTGTGAAAGTACTAGTAAAAAGGCGTCATGCAAAAACATTAACATTAGATTCCTTGTAATAAAAAATTATCGAAGTCACATTTTTGAAAAGCTTATTTCGCTATAAATGATGGCAACTGTGCTGGATATCAGAAGCATAATAATCTTTTCGTCTTCTGCTTGCTCTACACCATGTAGTTTAAAGTTAAAACCCCTTAACAAAAGTAATTCACATGCTAAACCAAGGCAATTCATACCCTTAACAAAGGTAATTCACATGCTAAACCAAGGTAATTCATACCCTTAACCAAGGAAATTCACACCAAGCCTATTGTAAACTTAGTCATGATTGATGGTATTTTGCAACAAAAGTTTTCCCTGCTATGACATAGCCAGTCTTACACCAACCCTCCATAGTGTCTTCTAATGACATGTGTGTAAGGTTACAGTGTTGGTTCTTTTGTTTCTCTTATTGATCTCTGTTAGACAAGACAAGATTACAAACACTGAGGTATTGGAAAGAGCAAGTATCACAACAGTTTTGTCAATGCTCAGTCTCTGATAACTGGGTCACACTTGGAGAATGGAGGATGGTGAAGTCCCTAAGGACATCCTCTATGGTCAGTTACAGATGGGCAGAAGATGTCAAGGTTGGCCTTTGCTACAATATAAAGATGTGTGCAAATGGCACAATAAAGATACCAGTATTGAGGTAGATTTGGGGGCGGCGGGGGGGGGGGGGGGAACGGGGAACAATGCTAAAGACCATGTTGCGTGGAGGGGTAAAATTGGGAATGTAATGAGAATAAATAAAACAATTGATTGCGGAAAGGTTGAGAGCTGAGTGCTTGAGAAGAAACGCACTTAATACAAGTGATGGCAACAGAGGTCCTGAAATCCCATGCTCTGTTAATGGAAGACCTTTCTCAACATGGATGTCGTCTTGCTAGTCATACTCAACGTAACCATGGGCTGTGATTCTCATGCCTCCCCATTGCATAATACAACACTGTCATCTTAAAAGATGGAAAAGTGCCAACAACAGACTGGCCCAAGTCAAGTAAGGTACATGTTATGCAGAGATGATTATTGTACTAATTGTTTGTGGGTGGAACATGAGTATTTTGTCTTCTGTCTTTCATCTTCAAATAAAGCATAGGTACTCAACCAGCTATTCATGCCAGTCGCTTTTTAGACATGCATGGTTGGTTAGATTTTCCAGCTAGGTTTTCTACAGTATAAGGTAGCCAAACTAAGACCAGTATTCCATGGCTGCCTTTTATGACATCCTTGGTTTGTTACAATATTACTATTCTTTGTTTCTCTAATGGCACCCAGTCATAAATGGACAGAAACATCAGTATAAATGAAGGATATGCTTTAAAAAAAGACACTTTTTATCTAGTACTTTTGCTGCTTGTCATTAATTGAAAAAAAAAATAACTCTGGCCTCCTGATGCATGGAGTTTTTGATAGGATTTAACAAGACTATTAGTGCCAGAATTCATAGCCTGTGAAGGCGAAGGAAAAAAAAAAAGAAGACTAAGTATAACTTATGATGCTGTTTTTTCATTTTGTTTGTTAACACCCTACAGAAACTGGTTATTACATTAAAGGTTTAGTCTGGTTTATCACTCAAATGGCTGGAGGGCAAGCTTTACCTGTGCTGTATGTTGCTGGAACTCATTACGAAGTTGGCTACAAAATTGGAGTCACATTTGCTGAAAGGATTAGAAGGTATAGTGGGTTGTCATTATTTAATTTAACTGTTTATATGTATATCAGAAATCAGTTATCTTGTCTGTTTAAAAACTTGCATAGTACAGTTTCTTTGTCAATATCTACATACTAGAAATGTGGTTTGGTTCATAAATGGTAATTTCAGTTGCACCACTGCATACACACATGCAAACTCACACACAGATAACTCCATAAGTGCTCCAGCCTCTTCCAGCAGACATTGAGCATCTCAACACAGTGCACAAACTCCATAGTATCAGCAAGGATCCAAATTGTAAACCATTACCAACAATGCTATAACTATTATATTTTAGTGAGTAACCTTTGTTCTCCTAATTAAGAAATTTAATTTGAGTAGTGGCCTTAATCTTGTCATTTCCCACTAGCTAGTAATTGTTAATATGTTCGGTGTTCACACAGGTCCTACTAAATTGTTTGCCTTTGTTCATAGAAGCTGGCCATATAATCAATTATTGAGATATGAAAGGCTGAAGAAAAGCTGCTGAGTTTAGTGCTTGGTGCAGCCTTGTGAGCTGTGTTTTTCATGTTGAATGTGGGAGCCAGTTTTTATATTGAGTTGGTGAAATACTTTATGTAGTAATTCTACATGTGTATAGCCAAATCATCGTGCCTGACTACTTCCGTCAATGACAAACTGTATTTCTGGTGGCAACTGTTGTCTTTGACATCTCTAGCAACTGCCATATGCATTTACTGTGTCCTAATATTTCTAGATTGTTTCTGGATTAATTGTTTGTTCACCAGTTTTTCAAATAAGACAGTAAGGGAAAGGGCACAGGAAGGAAGCAAGTATGGTTAAACCTGATTGTAATGAATCTGAAATCTCGATTAAGACTAATCCAGATGATGCAAAATAATTTGTAATGCTTGAAGCTATGAGTACTCTTATGACAGTGCAATGTATAGGTTATATAAAACTGTTTTAAAAATATAAATATGATAGCTAATTTAAACTAATTTATGTTCTTCTCTAATTCAGTTTTTGGAATGAATCAACTTACCTACATACAATAGATATACCATTCAGCAAAACCTCTAAGGGAAGAGCATATTTTGAGTCCACGTTAGAAGTCTGCAAGAACAATTTTCCTGACTTTGTTAGAGAGGTATGATTCATTATAATTTGTGTAGGCTTTTTTTTCTGTATATCTTTCTTTTCTATCATTGAAATATTGCCTTGTAATGATTATTGCATGGCAATCATTCATTGATAGAAAAATGTTAATGTGAAAAAGATACTAAAGTTAGATAATCAATGCTTTTGAGTCTAATTGTTACAGAAAATTGTAGAGAATACTGTGGTTTAAAATAAAAACAAATACTGAAATTTTACCAGATTGAATATTGATTGCTTCTTTCTAGCATAATGCTTTAGAGAATTAAATACTGTTAGCAAATAGGGGTACCTTGTTCGGGTAACTACATGTACAAGGAGAGCTGGAAGCAGTGTGCAAAGTACTTTGTTGCATCAAAGAAAAAGCTTGAACTTTATAATAACTGAAATTTTGTGAGGGGGGGGTGGGGGGGGGGGAGAGAGAGAGAGAGAGAGAGAGAGAGAGAGGCAGATAGACAGACAGAAAAATAATACTTCTGACAGCCTTTTATCATGGCATGAAAGAAAATCAGCACATCCACACACACGCACGTGTGCGCACACACACACACACACACACACACACAACCCCCCTCCCCCCCCCCCCCCCCCCCCCCCCGATACTTGCAGTTTGAGATCAGAAGAGATAGAGAAAAATGATTGCACTTGATGAAAATCTGGTAAACTAAGTTTCAGCTTCATAGCAAACAGGTCAACCCATAGTTGCTCCGCTCATGTGCCAACTAAAAACACACAGAATGTTTATCACTTGATGAATATATATATATATATACACACACACACACACTAGCTGTACCGGCCACGCATTGCTGTGGCACAGAATGGTGAAATGGAAAAGAAAGAAAATAGCTCTCAGCTAACAGTGTCTGTCAAAAACGTCATCACCTAACCAGTGATGGAACCCACAGTAAAAAGTACACTATCCTCACAAATAGCGGAGAAAAATACTCCGCACCCATCATCTCTCCCTCTCCGAAAGGACGATTTTTAACTGACCTTGGCATCCGTGTCCACCCAAACTAAACTGGACTGTAAACCGTCTTAGTTAACAGTTTCTGTCATTGCTGAATAGTTCTTGATCGAGTGAAGCGTCGCGGATAGGCTAATTGGGACTTTACTGAAATTGGATGTCTTTGGGCAAAAGGCGCAGATATCGCAGCCTAGATGTAAACCACAACACAACGTGGTAACCACCCTTTTAAGGGAAAAAGAACAATTATCAGACAGCGGGAAATCGAACACCGGTCACCCACGTGAAGGGTGGAAACTATACTACCAAAGGCTGAAGAGTTTGAGTCAGATATCGCAATCTAGCTGTAAACCACAACACAACGTGCCAACGGCCCTCTCAAGGGCGAACAAAGATTACTTGTGACATGATCATTGAGCATCACGTCGCCGCTATTGCAGGTTAGCTGTAAACCCCAAAACTGAAAAAAGGCGTAGATATCGGAGCCTAGCCATCAACCACAACACAATGTGCCAGCCGCCTAGTTAAGGGCCCCAAAAAAATAAATGATATTACCTAGCGGGGAATCGAACGCAGGTCACCCGCATGATAGGCAGATTATTTATAGCTACGCTACCAAAGACTCAAGTAGATGGTGAAAATTAAATTATATAATAATGTAAAGTTCAAGTATTATTGGCAGCCCTGCTCAGCAGTTAAAAATGGCCAAGTAAGTAAAAACAAATCTGAGCCGACAACAAAACAGATAATGATTTGACCGTCGCTAAATCTACGTCGTTTGTGGTTTGCGTGATTTTATGACATAAAAACATGCTTTGAGTCAAAGGCAATGTTGTGTGAAAATCTGAAAGCAATCAGTTCAGTAGTTTCCAAGTCTATAGTTAACAGACTCGGAAAATTAACATTTTTATTAATATAGATGTACGTTATATTCGGTAGAACCTCTATAAGTTAACAATTCCGGAGACCGTAGCAAACCGGTCAATTTACGGAATAAGGCCTATTGAACTGACACTATATTTTCTGGAGCAACTTATAGTGGAACTGCAATGTTTGCTATTATTCGTCTGCTGAGGAGAGGTCAGTTATTAAATGCACATTATTTAATATCATAATTTTGTTTATTGCACAGTTAAACAAGGTTTAAAGCCACACCAGAGATAATTATTGTGACAGCATCCTGGATCAGTAGTACGCTGGACCATGCATTTTTTTTATTGAGACAAAGCATACATACACACTGCTTCTTAAAACCAGCTGGTCACATTATAGAGCAACACTTCCCAACTTCTTTGACTAGCGGAGCCTTCTTAAAAGAATCACTGTCTTTGGAAGAGCCCTTTAGGCCTAACATACAATATTTATGGTGTTAAGAAGTAATGTTATGGAGCAGAGGTAGAGGGGGGTAGAAAGTAAGGGAATTTAAAGCAAAGGGATATTTAAACAATTGCTCAATGTCCATGCAGTGAAATTGTATTTTAACAACTTTGAAATTTACCATGATTGTCAGCCAGAGAGATGAGTGGCACTCTGAAGTTTTTTCTTCACTGAATCTATTGAACTCACCATCAGAACAAAAATATTTGTCTTCAGATTCATTGAGGAAGTGATCCTCACTTCCATCTGAGGTATCGCTGATTTCAAGCATTTCAGGATCTTGGAAGGGAAAAATTAGAATGCAGGCAGCTGTGAAAAATAATAGTAGCTCATCTTGCTAAATATGCTGTTTTACACCCCCATCATCAGTATTTACAATAATTGCTAATGGAACTTGGTCCATCAGAAATTCTGCTTTCTCTGCATGTAATTCCAACAAACATGTCAGCGCTTTTTTTGAGACAACCACCTTACTTCAGATTGAGCAGGAGGGACTGATGGTGACTTCACATGTGTGTTTATGTTTATTCAATGGATCAACATCATGGCACATGGGTGTAACCCATAAGTACTACTCCCTTCTACTTCTAACTCAAGCATGAGTCTAAAGAATCTCAGCGCAGTACACGAACTCCGTTGCAAATTTTGCCCGGGCAACGCTGTTAGGCTATTCTTTTTTTAATTCCAACTGCTAAGGGATTTTTACGTGTGCAGGAATACACACAGGCGTCTGGTCTTACTACCCAGAGACCAGGAAAAATTACTGGACATCCACATGAAGTCCCCTTAGTGACTTCACATATCTTTATACACTATTTTGAAAATTACGATTTTACATAATCAATTATTTTTATAGCTATATGTTCAGAAGGAAATTTTTTCGAGTCTAGCGAGTGTCTGTTATGAAAACCATGGCTGCTGTACAGGTTTTTTTGCATTGTCTAAATTTCTGGAAATGGCTTGAGCATTGTAATCCATCATTGCCTTTGCACTATTAGTGCATATATCTACGCAGTTTTCTGACAGTAATTCATTGTATGAGAATAATTCATCCAAAGGATTAAATATTCACACCCTGTTGTGTTGCTTGGTAGTGGTTTGGAAAGATAAAAAGGTCCTCATGATAGCTTTGTAAGTAAATATAACAAACAAATACCAGCGGAGCACCAGTTAACCGTTATTGTAGGGGGTAAATTACTATATTGTGTCATATTCTGGAGATGGTCAACATACAAAGGTGGTCAACTTTGGAGGCTCTACTGTATATACAAATTTCACTCTCTTAGCTGCAGGGTATTGCTGATGGAGCTGGCATGCCTTTTGACAACATCTTCATGTTGAACATCTCAAAGGAAGTCCAGAATGTCTTGTCAGACAATTCATTACAACAACAGAATGCCACAGAAACTGCAGGCTGTACAGATGTGATCATCAACAGCCCAACCTGTAAACTCATTGGACACAATGAAGTAAGTCACATGGGTCTTGTTGCTTCTACTAGGTTTGACTTATAGTTTGTAAGAATGTGCAAATTGTAGTAAAATAGCACACTTTCCTGGCTACCTGGGGTATAGGGGCATAGGTTTAAACTCTTTCTGTCACAAGCAACACACTATGTATGATTGGGTATTATTTACCTATATCAGTCAATATATTATCTATGTTTTTACTTCTTATTTTTAGTGAGCGATTCTGAATAACACTGGCATCATAGTTTCGTGCAAGGGTTGTATATTTAGCCCCTTCGGAAGTAGTATACCTATGAGTTTAGTATTGCCATTCTTAACTCCCTGGACATTAGCTGTGACTTTGTGGGACTGAAAGAGTTTATCTACATGAAGGCAGATTTCGTAAAATTTGATGTAGGCTTGCCTGACAGTCCAGCCTGAAATAGGTACCTCTAAAACTCATGTGAAGTAAAGATGTTTGGTATGGTGCTAACAACAACCATTCATTCTCAATCATTCATTCTTCTTCTTGTTTTCTCTACTCCTGGAATACTTCGCAGCACTGGGGGAAGGGATCACTGGAACGGGCCCTTATGTTTGCTTCCTATAAATTACTTTTCAGTTTCTCTGTTTTTTTTTTTTTGCGGTCCATCTTCTTCATGGTCAACCCCTGGTTCTCTTATCATTGCATCTCTAAGTGTCAATATCACATCAGTACAGCTTCTCTTTTTTTGTGTCCTTCACTAAGTTGTAGTTCGATGATAAGATATAGTCTCCTTTCAAGAAGCTTATAAAATATTTTCTAGGTGTGGCTCAATAACAAACTTTTCTGTACTTCCAACATTCTCTTTTGTTGCCTTTCTTTTTCCAGATTGGTACTATTTTTACATTTCTCCAGTCCTCTGGTGTCTCTTATGTTGTCCTGACTAGGTTGAACATTATCATTAGGTAAATGGGACACCTCATTGTAAAGGACGAGGTCTGTTTATGTATGTGAGAATAAGTTTCAAAAAATAAAATAATATATAAGAAAATATAAAATAATAATATTATTTTTAATAAATAATAAAAATCAATGTTATCCTCTTCTTCTGTTGAAGTAGTATGAGAGTAAAGTTTTTTAGTCAGCCTTAAATTCTGATAGTGAGGATTCTGTGACTAACTGGGTTATATCCTATTAAAGTTCTTGCAGTTGTTTTATCTCAACAAAATGCCACTCCACTCTGGCCTCTGATGTCTCCACCAGAATATATGAACAGGCTTCCATTTTCAGTTGCAAATTGTCTTTTGCCTCTCCAGCGATGTTCACTAATTCCTAAAATTTGAATCTTTAACCTCTCAGTCTCAACAGATACTACTTTAGCTTTCTCTCAAACAAACTCCTCACACTCCCTGTTCCTATTCTCACTCTCCTTTTTAGCCTGACACAGGGGATTTCCTTGGTAACACAGTCAGGACTAACTCCGTCATCACGATTACTAGTATTGGTCCTTCCCCAGTGTTATCTGATCTGCCTGACCTGGGGATCTCACCACTAGATCTCTTGCTTATTATGTTTTCTTTCATGGCTTTTATGGTTTCCTCGCAAGTTTTGCAGAAGGTAGTTTGCCGTTGCTTTCCTTCTGGGCAGTGACTGTATTAGTCGGTGGCTATAGCCATTGTCTCTATTGATGGGATCATCTGCCTATTGCCGCAGAGTGCATGACCATAACCAACAACAGTCTGTGGGCTGCTTTTGTACTCCATCCACCTCCTGCTTCCATGGCTTCACGTAACCCTGATTGGGGAGCTAAACATGTACTCTACCTTGCCCAAGGGTGTCCTGTTGACTGACGGAGGAAAGAAGGCGACTTGCATCTCCTTTGATAGCAGATACCCCTACCCCGCTAACCGTAGATAAAGAAGTAGTAGAAGAAAAAAAAGGGAGGAGTAAGTGGAAGAAGTATTGAAATTAGCCAAAATAAAGGTATGTAAATGTATATTGTTTCAGCAAATCTTCTATGAAGTTTTTTTTCTTCTTTTTAGGACTGTGACCCCAAAATCAAACCATATGGTTATATTGTTAGTGCCAGAATATTAGATGCAATTGGAAAGGAAGTGGAGAGTTTTACGGCTTACTGCTACCCAGGATTCTTAGCAGGCACAGCTCTGAGCTTCAATAAGTAATTAGTCAATTGTTTTTGTGATTTTGCTGTACCTTTCTAAAATTAACATTTTATTATCATTGTAGCTTTGAAAACCCTTACTGAAGAAAAAGAAAACAGCATAAATAAAATAGTTTTTAGTTTACAGTGAAATGCAAACATATGTACATCCCCAAACAGTCACATGCCCGGCTCTCTAGCGTAGTTGGCTAAACCGGATTCCTCGGAGACCGGGTGACGTACTCCTTGTGGTCCGGGTTAAATCCCGGGGATAGACAGGAAAGCCACATTTTCTCCCAGATTTACGGTATTTACAATGGAATCAAGGCTGAAAGATTGCGATATCCATAATACCGAGCCTAAGGGTTAACAACTCATGGCTTCTGGATACTAAAACAAACAAACAAACAGTCACATAAAAAAGAATGTACATATAACAGGTTTTGTTACACAAATGAGCAACATTCACAAAATGCAAATATCATGACAAGTAAAATATCCACTTGAGGAACTTTTATGTGATCTATTTAACTGTGTGGATCCAAATGGTTGGTAATGAACAGTTAGTAATAGACTTGAAATATACCCACCCACATAGGACAGTAGATTACATTGTAACCCTGAGGTGCTGAAATAGAACTATTTTATACTGTTAAATGGGAATTGCTCCTGTTAGATTCACATCAGTAAAATTGCATTTTTAGTTGCAAGATGTCACTTATTGAGAGTGAAATACTGGAGTGAAAATATTTTTGTTTAAAAGGTAAAGAAAAGGAAAATAAATTGTGAAATGCATTGGCAAAGCAGCAGCATTTGTTTTTTAAAAGTGTCAGTAAAATATAGAACTGAGTTATGTAGCTTTTAAACTGAAGTTAGATATTTTATATTCTAATTATATTATATCACACTTGGTTAATGGACCAAGTTTTAAGTGTACAACTGTTTTCATAGCATTATTTTGAATTATGCATGTGTGAGCACCGATGTACATTTGGACATCTGTGCTAAAAAGGAAAAGGGGGGGGGGGGGGGGGGTAGGGAGTCATGAATGATTAGTTATGGTTTCTTTGCAAGGTCTGAAGGCTTAGGTTTTTGCTTTGTATTTGTACAGGAATGTTTGCATCTATTAATCTATTACAGTCAGCGTACTTGTACAATGTCACACATGCTTCATTCTTTTTAAGTTCCAGTACTGATGGTTGATGGTTTCAGTGGCAACTTATTGGAAGTCCATCTGTCTGTTTCTCTGTCTTCAAGAATGTCCACTGAACAATTAAGATGCCAAACTTATGTTTGTTACCAATCAGTATTTTTATGGCTTCCATTCATGTGATTTAAATGTTGATTTTTCTGTTGACCACCAACAGACAACAACACAATGGATACTTCCTGGCACTATAATCCTTTGCTACATTTGTCAAATCAGTTTTCTGAATGCTCAGTTTTCAGAGGCTCAAATGGCTTTGAGGCACTCAGAGAATGAGGAATGGTAGATTCCCATAGGAAATCCTTTATTGTGAATTACAACTGGTTAGATATTGAGATCAGCTTCGGCTGTGAGTTAAAGATGTGTACAAGCAGGACATGAATCATACTGGTATTGAGATGGAATAATGGGAGCAGGATGCTATAGATCACATTGCATGATGGGGAAAAATTAAGAAGGGAATAGGAACAAAGAAAAAAAGTATTCAAACAGATTAACATATCTTAAAAGAAACATATCAAATAAATGTGATGGCTATGATGGTCTTGAAATCTCATTATGGAAGATTCCTAAAGCGAACTGGTCTTGCTAGTCACACTTGCTAACCACACTTGCTAGTCACACTCACTATCCATACTGGTTAATCACACTGGCTAGTCACACTGGCTAGCCACACTTGCTAGTCACACTTGCTAGCCACACTCGCTAGTCACACTTGCTTGTCACACTGGCTAGTCACACTGGCTAGTCACACTGGCTAGCCACACTTGCTAGTCACACTGGCTAGTCACACTTGCTAGTCACACTGGCAAGTCACACTGGCTAGTCACACTTGCTAGTCATACTGGCTAGCGACACTTGCTAGCCACACTGGCTAGTCACACTGGCTAGTCACACTTGCTAGTCACACTTGCTAGCCACTTGCTTGTCACACTTGCTAGCCACACTTGCTAGTCACGCTTGCTAGTCACGCTTGCCAGCCACACTTGCTAGTCACACTCGCTATCCATACTGGCTAGTCACACTAGCTAGTCACACTGGCTAGTCAACTGGCTAGCCACACTTGCTAGCCACACTTGCTAGTCACACTTGCTAGTCACACTTGCTAGCCACACTTGCTAGCCACACTGGCTAGCCACACTCATTAGTCACACTGGCTAGTCACACTGGCTAGTCACACTTGCTAGTCATACTGGCTAGTCACACTTGCTAGTCATACTGGCTAGCCACACTTGCTAGTCACACTGGCTAGTCACACTTGCTTGTCACATTTGCTAGCCACTTGCTTGTCACACTTGCTAGCCACACTTGCTAGTCACGCTTGCTAGCCACACTTGCTAGCCACACTTGCTAGCCACACTTGCTAGTCACATTGGCTAGTCATACTTGCTTGTCACACTTGCTAGCCACACTTGCTATCCATACTGGCTATCCACACTTGCTAGTCACACTTGCTAGCCACACTTGCTAGTCACACTTGCTAGCCACACTTGCTTGTCACACTGGTTAGTCAAACTTGCTAGCCACACTTGCTTGTCACACTTGCTAGCCACACTTGCTATCCACACTCGCTAGCCACACTTGCTAGTCACACTGGCTAGTCACACTTGCTTGTCACACTGGCTAGTCACACTTGCTAGCCACACTTGCTTGTCACACTTGCTAGCCACACTTGCTTGTCACACTGGCTAGTCACACTGGCTAGTCACACTTGCTAGCCACACTTGCTAGTCACACTGGCTAGTCACACTGGCCAGTCACACTTGCTAGTCACCATAGCTTGTAATTCCCATACCTCCCTATAGCACAGTGCCACAATATCTTCTGGAAGCTTGTCAAATAATATCTTGTCTGCTTTCAGATCTGGCATGGTCTTCACTGTTGATGGCTTGTATACAGATTTTGTTGTTCATGGAGCTTCCCCCAGGTCTGTTAGTATTTTATATTTGATCAGTGTAAGTGAAAAGACAAGGTATAGTATTGGTATCAAACACTTCTTCAACAAGCAAAAGTCAGAGAAAGTTGGCCGGTTTTGTCTGCTGCTGCTTTCATCAACACACCTCCATGACCATAATGGGCCATAATAACATAATGGTTATGTTATGTTACGTTATTAGCATTGCCAAGAAGGCTAAGCCGGGTTAAAAATACCTGCAGAAGTTGTATGTGGGGGCTGAAAGGTGCTAATACTCTCAGCCATGTAGTAAACGGGTACAGTGCATTTACATCTTCAGATAAACGCAGAAGTAGAAAAAAGAAAAAGTAATGGTATTGGAAAGTATTTCATTTGCAGGATTATATGGTATAAATAAGATCAACAAGTTGTAGCATTGCAAGAGAATGTTTAAAGCATATTTTTAAGAACAGATACATTAAAATCACTTTTATATAATCTGGTTAGTGAGAACTATCTAACGTTAGGAAACAAAACGATGGGAAGAGTTTAGAAAGTTAAGAAGAGAAAGGACAATAATTAAATTGTCATGAGTCCAAGAAGTAATCAGATCAGCAAAATAATTGGTTCTGTTCAGGCTTCTGCCACATCTTGTAAGGCACAAGATTTCATAAGGAATTCTACGGGACAGTTCTACACTCACGAGGGGGGGGGGGGGGGGGGGGGAGGTTTAGGGTCAGTCGTAGTTGTTGTTCTCTTAACCCTATTGCTAAAACTCCTAAATTCTAGGCGTGTCTTGTGTTGGTTTTTTTCAACGTTGTTGAAAATAATTTTCACTCTGTTTCTTTCATTCATTTCGTCACCCTGTTTCTGTCTTGTGTGAAAGCGCTGTCCTTACTTCATGCTTTAGCCTTCACCATGAATTTTCTTGACCTTTCAGTATTCCTACATGTAACCCTAACACTGACCCTAACCTTAACACTTGAACAGTTGTTCATGCTCATTTTCATCTGAGAGAAAAGAAACCTGCGCAATTTCATGTTGGGAGCAGTGTGTTGACCCAGTCAACCGAAGCCCAGAGACTTGTCGGCATGCTATATATAGATGACCACGATCATCAAATAGTTGGAGGCGGTCGTGTACATGCTGGACAAAGATGGATCATAAACTGTAGGCCTGTCCCAGAGAACTCCCTATGAAATCTCAAACCGGATGAGATGGGATGAAAACCTGAATAGAACCAAATGATTAATAGAATTATTCTTTTGTCAACTTTAGAACATTGTACAAGTCACCAGAAATGTGGATATACAGACAAATAGGTTGCATTTATGGAAGCAAAAACAACAAATACAGAGATTCTTAAGAGTCTAGGAATGAACAGAGAGTTTCTATAGGAAATAAAAACAAGACAAGTAAAATATTTCAGCATATTAAACGACATAATAACACTGTTATAAAAACCATGCTGGAGGCAAGAGGCAGACCATGGTACTACTACTTCTTCAGTGTTCATCTGAAGATGTAATTGTGTGGTGCCTGTTTACAGCAAAGTTGCAATATTAGCACCTTTCAGCCAGCACATCCGACTTCTGCAGGCATTAGTTGGCCGGGTAACCTTACCGGGATAGTGGTCCAAGTTAGTTGATTAGTTAGTCGACAGATTATCCTCACTGCACGTCAACCACTCAGTCCATAAGTGCTCGATCCCCTCCTCAGTAAATTCTGCAGTGTGTAGCAACTAATGACACCAGTTCTGTGTTGATTTCTTCTTCTTTGGCTACCCGTGTGGTAAATGAAATTATATAACACCCCGTTTAACATGTTGTTCTTGCAGCCTGACCATGGTTGCAGATTCACAGTTCTCAGTTGGTTCACACAAACATCTGAACTCTCTTAGAGCATTCAGTATATCAGCCTGGTCCATGGCTTGTCCGGCTTTCACAGTAGCCTTACCTGCAAGTCTATCAGCTTGCTCATTTCCTTGTACCCCCACATGTCCTGGCACGAAAATGAAACTAATCCTTGTCAGTCATGAATTATGCAGAGCCACCAACCACTGCCTTCGGACCCAGCCCTTCTCTATCTATGAGAGGATAACATTAAAAGAAAGAACGATGACCAAAACTTTTTTCCCCAAGGGTTACAAATTGGGCGTGCAGGCCATCTTACATTCAGCCCATCCTGATACTCATCTGTGACACAATGCATAAACACCCACACCTATATAAACACTAATTTATTCAGATACACTCATCTATATTAATAAAAAATGGTAATTTTCCGTGTTTGTTACAGCTAATCTCCGAAAGTTCTTCACCGATCGCTTTCAAAGTTTCATACAACGTTGCGTTTGACTCTGCATGGGTTTTTTTGTAAGAATGTTGCACAAACCATGAACGACATAGCTCCAGCAATGGTCAAATCATTTTGTCGTTGCCGGCCTAGACTTCTTTTTAGTTCCCCTGACCTTTGACTGTGTGTGTAACACTGAATTTCACATTATTATATAATTTCATTTCTACCAAATTCTCGAGTCTTTGGTAGTGTAGTTCTAAGTATTCCGCCTGTCACGCAGGTGACCGGCGTTCGATTCCCCGCTGCTGGACATTTTTTTTTAGCTTTTAACAGGGCAGCTGGCACGTTGTGGTTTACAGCTAGGCTGCAATATCTGCACCTTTTCTTCACTTGGTTTTGTGGTTTACAGCTAGGCTGCAATAGCGGCAACAAGATGCTCAGTGGTCATGTCACGGGTAATCTTTCTTTTCATTCACCCTTGAGAGGGTGGTTAGCATGTTGTGTTGCGGTTTAAAGCTAGGCTGTAATATCTAAACCAAATCCTTGAGTGTTTGGTAGTATAGTTGTAAGTATGCCGCTCGCCACGTGGGTGATGGGTGTTCGATTTCCCACCAGGTGCTAATTTTTCTTTTGCCCTTAAAAAGGGCGGTTGACACATTGTATTGTAGTTTACAGCTAGGCTGCGATATCTGCGCCTTTTGCCCCAAGACATATGATTGCAGCAAAGTGCCAGTTAGCCTCCCCGTGACGCTTAACTTAATCAAAAACTATTCGTTGATGACAGAAACTGTTATGACAGCTTAAAGTCCATTTTAGTTTGGGTCGACAGGGATGCCAAGGTCAATTAAAAATCGTCCCTTCGGATAGGGAGAGAAGACGGGTGCAGGTTTTTATTTCCTCTATTTGTGAGTAAAGTGTTTTTTTTTTTTTTAGTCACAGAATATTACTGTGGGTTCGATCACTGGTTAGGTGAGGTTTTTTTTTTTTAATGTCGTGGGGGTACAATCAAAAAGTCCATGGCGACAGCATGCGGCGCCAACTCCTCTGGAGGGGGGGGGGGGGGGAGGGTTGTTATGAAGGTGGTGGTGGTTAATGCTACCCATTTTAGTCTGGGTGGACACGGATGCCAAGCTCAATTTAATTACAATATTTCATCAGGTGATGACTCTCCTATCCTTCGAAGAGAACGATATAATGGATGTGGGGCGGGGGGAGGGGGGGGTGACAAAAGGGGGGGGGGGGGTTATGACAGACACTGTTAACTGAGAGAGCTAAAAATATTATTTTAAAGTTCTCATTTATTAACTATTTATATTTTAATAATTTTGTCAGGTGATTATTTTCCAATTCTTTTGAAAGGGAGATATGATTGGGGGGGGGGGGGGTGTTGATGACACTGTTAGCTGAGAGAGCTTAAAACATTATTTTACAGTTATCATTTCTTAAATATTTATATTTGTTTAACGCTTCCTCTGCTTTTATCATTTGTTGTTGTGAATTTGTTGGTCATTTAGAGATATATTAGTTGGCTTTACTTTCAGCTGTTAAAAACACAACAGATGCCTTAGCATGCGATAAAAAAATAATCTTTTTTTTTTCACTCTAACAATGCACTTTAATTGACCACTAATATAAACACTCACTTATATGTTGCGGGTTCTTCAGTCGGCATACCAAAATATCTGTGTATCTGTGCAACGACTGATATTAACCATATTAGACTCTGTACGCTTTCTATTTTCTTTCTTTTCCTTTTCAACAGACTCAGCCACAGCAACGCGTGGCGGGTACAGCTAGTACATACATAAACATGCATACGTGCATATTGCTCCAAGACATACATACACACACTCAAAGCTCTACATACACACTCATTCACACACACACACACACACACACGCACATACACCGCACAAACTCATACATAGACATGAACACAGATACTCCTAGGAGGAGTGGGAGCTGCTATGGTGTAGCGGCTAGATGCACACCTGCAATACAAAGGTCATATGTTCAAAACCAGCAGAACTGGACTTTTCCCAAAAATGATCTCGGCTCAAAGGTCAACCCAGCCTTAAATTGGTAGCAGGTAAAGTCATAGGAAGCAAAGGCACCCATTGGGGTGTTGATCACATATATAAAATATATGTCTAACCCTATATACCCAATACCCCTGAAGGCATGGAAAAGGGTCCGTTACATTAGTCAGAAAGAATGTACATCCTAGGGAAAAGACAGGCGTGTTGGAGATCTGTTACAGTCAGCCTTCAGTGTGGAGATGGCATCTGATTGATTGTTTGAGACAGGCCCTCACTTGGTGCATGTAGATTAATAATCATATCCCATTTCAGGGCCATTCACTCAAGTTTACTCAGGGACTACATTGTTGGAACATGGGGATTGTCGTGGGCCAGAGGCCTGAGCCACAGTATAGAGAGGTCATTATTACAGTGCAGTTGGCAGGTGCTCTCTGGGCCACTTGCTAGGTCTCTGCGGGCCAGATTTGGCCCACAGACGGCAAGTTGAATAACCCTGTCCTATATCAATTGTATCGTATGAAATACAATATGTAACAGAAATATTTATGAGGAAGTGACCTTTTTATTCCATGACCAGATGGAAGGTTTAGGTATTTTTCTCCACACTCATCATGGGAGTATCCTTACTGCCCTGGCATGTTGATATTAAAAAATCGTTGTTTTTAATTCAAATACATTTGTAATAATAAACACATTTTTTTACTGCCTTTTACATTTCTTGTCTTGCTTTATCACTCATTGCACTATGAACCCGTTTTCAGAATATAAATGCTGAATGTTGAATTAAGAATCGGCATCACAACACTCGGGACACTCCCATAAGTGCTCCTTCCCCATCTTCAGCGAAGAGTTCCAATCCCGATGGCACCAGTAACCGTCTGATTGTATATTCCTCTCATTATTCCCCTGAGTGTTGAGCGTCGGCCAGATACCCTGGTAACTCCTCGCAGCGCCATTTTCCTCAGACAGTAATGATCTGTCTGCACCTCCGCACTGTTCACTCACTCCCAAAGGGCCCTCACAAGATCTAGCTTGTCATAGATCAGAATATAAATGCAGTGTACACTGATAGTGTTTACAATATGATTCATACTCGGATGTTGAACTAAACACATCTCATGGCATGTCAACAGAATATTTCTGAACCGCAGCATCATTAGAGCCAGAACATTTGAAGAGGCAGTCAAACTGATCAAAAACAATGGATACGGAGTGGCTTACGGCTTCACTGTCAACATTGCTGATGTAAAATCACCCAGAGACATTTGGTCAGTTGAGGTGAGAGCTCTTCAGTCCATCATAATTCATTGCGTATACTAATTTATTCTTCTCTCCCAGCATTTTGTGGTTTTCACTGTAAATGTGTTTTTCTTTAAGTAGAAGACATGGCAAAAACTCTGTAGTAACCCACCTGACGAGATACAGCGATATATGCCTGGCAATTAAATGTTCAATGTATTGTTTGTGTATGCATTATTTAAATTCATTATGGGAAAAACATTGTTTTGAATGGCAAAAATTGATAGGTACAGTTGGTTCTTCACAGATTGACTGTATTAAAAAAATTCAAATATCCAGGGCTAAGATCCTATTACATCTTCATGTAATGATCCTGAAAACTGGCCATATCACTGCTGTCACACTAAGACTGTCTTGGAACTAAAAACTGGCCAAATCACTGCTGTCACATCAAGACAGTCTTGGAACTAAAAACTGGCCAAATCACTGCTGTCACATCAAGACAGTCTTGAAACTGAAAACAGGCCATGTCACTGCTGTCACATCAAGACAGTCTTGGAAATAAAAACTGGCCATATCACTGCTGTCACATCAAGACAGTCTTGGAACTAAAAACTGGCCATATAACTGCTGTCACATCAAGACAGTCTTGGAACTGAAAACTGGCCATATCACTGCTGTCACATCAAGACAGTCTTGGAACTAAAAACTGGCCATATAACTGCTGTCACATCAAGACAGTCTTGGAACTGAAAACAGGCCGTGTCACATCAAGACCATCTTGGAACTGAAAATGGACCATGTCACTGCTGTCACATCAAGACAGTCTTGGAAATGAAAACAGGCCATGTCACTGCTGTCACATGAAGACAGTCTTGGAACTGAAAATTGGCTATGTCACTGCTGTCACATCAAGACAATCTTGGAACTGAAAACTGGCCATGTCACTGCTGTCACATCAAGACAGTCTTGGAACTGAAAACTGGCCATGTCACTGCTGTCACATCAAGACAGTCTCTGAAGTGAAAACTGGCCATGTCACTGCTGTCACATCAAGACAGTCTTGGAACTGAAAACTGGCCATGTCACTGCTGTCACATGAAGACAGTCTCTGAACTGAAAACTGGCCATGTCACTGCTGTCACATCAAGACAGTCTTGGAACTGAAAACTGGCCACGTCACTGCTGTCACATCAAGACAGTCTTGGAAGTGAAAACAGGCCATGTCGCTGCTGTCACATCAAGACAGTCTTGGAAGGGAAAACAGGCCAAGTCGCTGCTGTCACATCAAGACAGTCCTGGAACTGAAAACAGGCCATGTCGCTGCTGTGACATCAAGACAGTCCTGGAACTGAAAACAGGCCATGTCACATCAAGACAGTCTTGAAACTGAAAACTGGCCATGTCACATCAAGACAGTCTTGGAACTGAAAACAGGTCATGTCACTGCTGTCACATCAAGACAGTCTTGTAACTGAAAACAGGTCATGTCACTGCTGTCACATCAAGACAGTCTTGGAACTGAAAAGAAGAGGCATGCCTGTTTCTAAACAATTATTGTACCAGAGTCTTTGACTGATATAGTAACCTTCTTTTGCCTTTCACCTCCTGACAGAGGACAGGCCCTCAACAAACATTTTGTGAACATGTTCCATGATAGGTAGAATTTTGCAGCTTAAGTTTCTGCATGATGAGGCAACCAGTCTCCTGGCAACTTTTCTTAGTTAACTTGTATGATGTGCATGGTAGTTTAGGGTGTTACTATTCTTTGCTTCCGTTATATGCCTCAGTAACACACAGATGGATATAGTAACTGAAATTTGAGCTGGGCCATGTTTATTGGCTGAAAGGTGCAGATATTTGGAAACAGTGTAACCAGGAAGAAGAATTCGACTGATAAGCAGGGGAAAAGCAGCGGTTATTTGACACTGTTAAACCAATATTTTCTATGCCCAGTAGAAATGATGGTCATGCATACTGAATTAGCTGCACTTGTTTAGTCATTTTGACAGCATATTCATTCAATGATTTATGTATATTTGGACATTTTGACAGCATTGTTCATGTTCACTGCAAACAATTTGGAAGTTTTTACAGCAAAATGCTCTTACAGCTGCAGCTATTTGGACATTTTTACAGCTTATTGTCTCTGTGAGCTCATTCATCTTGTCAGCTGCACCGATTGTGTAATTTTTGTCAGCACAGTATTCTTGCAGCTGCTGCAACATTTAGGACATTTAGCACACTGTTTCTGTCAGCTTCACAAATTTTGCCATTTTTACAGCACGGTATTCTGCTCAGCTGCACACATTTGGACCTTATAGCTGCATACAATTTGAAAGTTTTAATTCAGTGTACTACTAAAACATAATCTTAATCATTACTGTTATATTATAAACATTGTAGACATGTGGTCATCATTAGTGTTTTTTTAAGAGATTGAGGGGAGAAAACTTAAAAATTATTTTCTTTTGACAAATTGCCATAGGTGTACTGTGATGATGACAAATTGCCATGAGTGTACTGTGATGATGACAAATCACCATAGGTGTACTGTGATGATGACAAATTGCCATGAGTGTACAGTGATGATGACATATCGCCATGGGTGTACTGAGATGATGACAAATTGCCATGAGTGTACAGTGATGATGAAAAATCCCCATGAGTGTACTGTGATGATGAAAAATTGCCATGGGTGTACTGTGATGATGACAAATCCCCATGAGTGTACTGTGATGATGACAAATCGCCATGAGTGTACTGTGATAATGACAAATCGCCATTGGTGTACTGAGATGATGACAAATTGCCATGGACCTGTGAAAAGGTAGCAGTAATCATGTGGTAATACTAAGCAGACACGGAAATCAGATGATATACTTTCACTTCACCAAGACTGATTCTATCTACATTTCATTTTATTTCTCCCCAGGTTTGTCCCCAAGCTAAGGTATCTGTGATCGATATACAGACTATTTCTGAGGTTGCAGATCCAGACAAGAATTGTCACTATATTCATTGTAATAATTTTTTACATCTGAAAACCTCAGAGATCCCTAACTTGGTCAGCTCTGTAGCAAGACAAACAAGGGCTGAGGAGGTTAGTATGATTGTATTGTTTATGAACTTTGAAAAATCCATCCATTTTGTTCAGAATGTCTACACAAAAGTTAATAATGTTAACAGAGCTGTTAATCTTATAAGCTCTCATCATTTTTAATCTTATTAAATAAAGCAGTTATCCTGATTAATTCTAGGAGTTATAAGTATGTGGTAAGTATGCTATTAGTGCCAAACGTGGACACTTAAATCCTTCAAAGAAAGTAAAATTGTGACAACAGAGATGAAATGCCTTAGAAAAGCTGCAGGAGTTTCAAGGAAAGACAGAATACGAAATCACGAAAGCAGACGAATGCTAGGAATAAAGCCAGTCTTACAAGTCATCAAAGAACAACAAATGAAGTGGTTTGGGCACCAAACAAGAGTGCCCTGGTACTATCTCCCACAGCAAGCCACACTAAAATGTTACAGCTAGTATATAGCGCGTGGAAGATTTTTGAAAAGATGGAGTTATGTCATTAAGAACAGCCTTACAGAAATGAACATCAGTCTTAATAGTGCTCTTGACAGAGCTCATTAACGAATGTTACATCTTCCCCCGATACTTTGCTGAGATACAAGGTGGAATAGAAGAAGAAGAAGAAGTAAGTATATGGTAGACTGAACTTCTTGCTGCTCTGAAATCAAAATGTTTTTAAAGATCACGTGGCTCTTGGGTCAGCTCATCCTTATTAATTGGGCACCAGAAAATAATTTAGGAGTTAACTATTTCTCTTTCATGCAATATGTGTTTTTTTCCCCATTAGCTTAGACCATGGCTATTCAGGTAAGTTTATTTAGGGGCCAAAATTTTGAAAAAGGGGATTGTCTTGGGCCAGACATTTGAAACCCAGCATAGAAGGATCATTGCCACAGTACAAAAAGCAGTGATCTTTCGGCCAATTCCTACGCCTCCACAGACCATATCTAGTCCACAGCCTGCCAGTTAAATAGCCCTGGTGTAGAGGAAACACAGCTGTTTGACTTTCTTCTGTCACAGACAATTGTTTTAGCAACTCCTTCTAACCATATTTGTTAAGTTGTTATTGTAACCCTTTCATATCCACATATTTGTTGCTTTAAAGTATAACTCATCTGGATAGAAAAAAAATACAATATTTACTTGTTGGGGCTAAACGAGTTAAAGTGACTTGTATGACACATACATCATCTATCAAATTTTATTTGATCAAGAAAATGTAGGCTTAGAACTGTATCATAAACTGCACTGAAATGAGAGTATTTTCTTAATTTATTTGGTATTGCTTACCATTCGATCTTTGTAGTAAAATTTAGCAGATAATTTAGGTAGATGTTAAGGTATAAATGTATTCAATCTTTGTGATTCATAAATACAAATTGGGCCTACAAAGACAACACCTTAGTAATGGAACAAATATATCTTGAGTGTTTATATGTATGTATGTATTTTCTTTTAACTGTGCCATCTCTACAACGGAGGTTGGCTTCAGTGTTTTGGTGCTTCCACTGCTGTCTTTTAGAATACTGCTTTGTGAGGCCCCAACTGTTCCACGGTGTGACTCATATCACCGTTGAAAAATAGCGAAAACAGTCTTTTTTCTAAACTGAACATGGTGGAAATTGAAGATGGTGGAAATTGAAGTTGTGAAATATGTTTTGTAACCTCTAAACCACAAAGTGTACTGATTTTGTGTGCAGAAATAACATAATATAGATAATAAATTACAAAAAAGTGTATTCTTTTTTATGCTAACCTGGGTTTAAATTGACAAATTAAGAATAAACATCCCTGCTGGGACTAACATGTTTTTTCGTGTGAACTGCATGTTTATATTGAGTCGGTAATAATTAGGTTTTACTGTATCTTTCTAAAGATCTTGTTTTTACGTTTTAATACTTTCAGTTTCTTTAACATGGACATAATTTTATTGTTAATGAATAAATGAAATATACAGTCTTGTTTTTTCTTTCAGCAACCTAAGCATGGACAAACATTTGTATTAATTTAAGGGGAAAAAATGTGTGTGCTCATTTGGATTCCTAAGTGAGCCTTTTACTAGTTGGTCAGTACCAGAGTGGGTTCTGAAGTGGGTGACCGGACCCATCGGACCCTGAGAACATTTACTGTAAGAGGGATAGAGAAACACTTGCCATGACTTGTTTGTTATTACAATTATCCAGCATTAGCCACATTGCTGCATACATTCTTTGTAATTCCAAAATACATGGTTCAGTTCCAGCTGTCAAGTATTTTACAGCAGACAGCTTTGTGTTAATTTTGACAGTGGTATAGAGCGCCTACCATTTAGAAAGCAGTGGCAAACTACTGAACATAACATTGCGTAGTAAAAACACAAACAGCCAAAAAATGCTGTGGTTGGTTCTACAATGTCTTGTAAAAGATACACAACTGATTAATTTACCATGGTTCCATCTCTGTCTGTCTGTCTATCTGTCTGTCTGTCTCTCACTCTCTCTCTTTCTCTTCCCCGTTTGTCTGTCTGTCTCTTTTTTTCCCTCACATGCATGAACACATACAACACACACATGCACATGCATTTGAAATATAATGTCAACCTGGCACACACACACAAGATAGTAACTTACCTGTACTTTAATAAAATAAAAAGAAGAGGGAATATTTGTAAGCTTATTTGACTTAATTGAATTAAATGCCATATCATTAAAGAAGTAAAGTCTAAATGAATTTTAGAAGGAGAGAAAATGAAGCTTCTTTTGTACAAAGCAAAAGAAACAAAGAAAGTGATACAGTAAAGTTGTAAAGTTGTTTGAGCTGTTATAGTCAACAAAAAAGAAAAGGTGAATGTCACTTTCTGCTGTAATGGTAGCCTTTGCAGACTAAGAATTTTAAAAAAGAGAGTTCTGCTGCTGTATGTGATTTCCATTGTGCAGTGTTGGTGTAATGAGTGACAGTAATGAGGATAATGTTTATATATAACAATTCAGTAACAATTTATTATAAGACTATTCTTGTGGTTTTTGGACAATATTATGAGAATTGCACCATGGCAGGGATTGGGTCCTCACCATATTATGTGCCCAAGAAGAGTATGGATAAACATACCAACTGCAGTCAATGTCCACTGTGTGGATTGCCTACAGCAAATTTAAAAAAAAAATCTGTATTTTCCATTCATTGCTATCTGATATAATGTTTCCACTCTCCTCCTTTGTAGTTTCCAGCTCCAAAGAAACAAGCTGATGTCCTTGCTATCCTTGGAGATGAAACTAATCAGGAGTACCCAATTTATCGGACTGTCCGACCAACAGACTACTCTTCCACATCATTTACTGGTATTGTGGACATTCTCCACAACAGAGTGGAGATTTATGTAGAAAATCCCATTCTTGAGGGTGTTGTGCCATTGATACATTTCAACATTATGTAAATGTAGCAATTACAGCCTTTTACTGTTGTTCTTAACTGTTTCGGTACCAATGAACACATCATGTGTTGATTTGTATCTAATTTAAATGTCCTCTGGTCTGAAAGAGATGGTATACATAAATATAACCCATAATATTAAGCAGAGAAAACTGTTTTGACCTATATCAGCTTATTTTGATGATAAACTATGCAAATGTTAACAAGCTCAAATTAACTGCTGCTTTGTTTAATTGTTTTGTTGTTATTACAATCAACATCTTTGCACATTGATCGTCCCCATGCATGCTCAGTCCTCTGATGCAGCAGCCACTCCAAGGTACCTCTACTGATTGGTCCCATGAGGAATTGGTTATAGTATCTCCTGTCTTTACTAAAAAAGACAACATAGAAGTGCTTCACTCCTCTGTCATGCAGTCATGTTAGAATTAATGATATCAGCTCTGTCCATGCTTCTTTCCGTCTACATTGGTGCCTTACTTGCCAGCTCTTTCATTACCATGTATTCCTGTATGTCCAGGTCTGTAGATCCAGATGATGGAGGTTTACTGCGACTTTCGAATGCTTTCTACCTATACGGAGCGTAGACTGCCTGTAGCGATTTTCTGAAGCATTTTCATAGAGTCTGAAACGATTATCGCATGTGTGATAACTTGTTCTGTTATCCATGCGAGTGCTCTGGAAGCAGCAGTTATCTCCATGATCATGATTTACTGCCTCGGTCATCCGAGATGATACTTTTTTGAGATGCATCCCTTTTATATCTTTGATAGCATTGTGCAGCAGGTGGTTGATATCTGCTGATATCCTCATGTATGCATTAACCTGTGCCACTTTATGTCTTGTGGCCATCGACGGTAAACCAAGGACATATTGCATGGCGTGGCATAAGGTGTCTTTTGTGCAGCTGAGTGGGAGTCTCTGGCCTCATTTTGTACCTGGTCCAGTCTTTTTAGCTAGGTTCTGCTGACAGTGAGGAGGCCCAGACCGTATTCTATAACAGTGCTGAACCTTTTAGCCTTTCTCTTGTCGTTTACTCATTTGATTTATTTGTAGCTTCACTACATTTCAGCCCACTTTAGTTTATTTTCATATAAATGATGTAGAGGTGTTGAAGTACATTTCAGGTTTGAAACATGTTTTCAAGATTCAAGACTGAATTTAGTTTGCTACGTATGATAACCAGATGCATATTTATAGCAAAGAGCTTGGTAACCTTTTTTCTGACCAGAAATAATCGGTGTTTATAAATAGAATAAGGACTAGGGACAACAAGTTATATGCTTCAGTCAGGTCAATTATTTATGAACTAACTCTTATTTCTCTCTCTCTCTCTCTCTCTCTCTCTCTCTCTCTCTCTCTCTCTTTTATCTGTGTGTGTGCATATGTATGTGTGTGTGCATTTTGTATACATTTATTTGTCCATACATAACTGTATGCGCGGTGTCCATGGCTTAGGCGTTCAAGTCCAATTTGTAATCCAAAGTACCGCGATCGAAACCCACTGCGAGCTGCGTGGATTTTTATCGTGGTATGGGATGTGGCAGATCGACCCAGCCTCAAATGGGTACCAGGATGGCTGTCCTGGGGAAGTAAAGACGGCCGGCGTAATGCTGACCACATTACCCATGGAGTGCCGATTGGTCTGTAAAATATGGGTGCTCTTCCCATATGCCCGATGCGCCGAAAGGCATAAAAAGGGATCTTTACTTACTTTACTTATAAATGTATGCAAGCATATGTACATGTTTACATTTTGGAATAATAAGCACAAACTGTTACTTAAAGCACAAGGTTAGATAATCAAACCTCCTATAACCTACAAGGTCTTTCAGGCACCACCACCATTGAGGTTTTGAGTCATATGGGCAAATTTCAAAACATCAGAAACCATGTACATTGTAATTGTAGTTAATCAGACACTTGATCTTCTTAAATAAAAAAAAAATAAAAAAAGATGCAAGAGCAGTTAGAAATGTAAAAGGGAGGCTAAAAAAGGCAGCACAACAGACAATGTGTCCATTATCTGGTGAGACTGACTTGGCAGGAAGTGAAGTAAAGGGTTAGAACAACTCTCAGAATGCATGGTGAAAGATAGCCAGACCCTTTAATAAGGTTGCCATTGTCAAAAGCAGCATAGGAATTCTTTATTAGGTAATAAAAGGTGTCGACTGAGAGAACCTGTGTATGGAAATGTCCCAAAATAATGCCAGTACTTTGCTGGGGAAAACAAGTTAAATGCTTCAGTCAGGTCAATTATTTATGAACTAACTCTTGTTTCTCTCTCTCTCTCTCTCTCTCTTTTTTTTAAAGCTGTGTGTGTGCATATGTGTGTGTGTGTGTGCATTTTTTATACATTTATTTGTCCATACATATCTGTATGCGCGGTGTCCGTGGCTTAGGCGTTGCGAGTCCGATTCATAATCCAACGTACCGCGATCGAAACCCACTAAGAGCTGCCTTCATGTTTTCTGATTATATGTCAATAAAAATCAGAGAAATAAATGAAACACCTTTGTTGCAGTTAACTTTATGGAGTCTCTACTGGATATTGAATAATGACTGAGATATACATGGATGGTTTTATTTGAAGCTATGAGCTAGACTGTCTTTGGTCAAGTCTGTTCTAGAAGACTGTGTGCACAAAGATTCCTCGCACAAAAATAAACTTTTCAGTGCCGAACATGATCAGTAGGTTTTAGGCTGTGTCAAGAAGAAATTAACTTTGTTGTATATAATTAGGGCAAGAGCTTTCAAAAACTTTTTGAATGTGAAGTCTGAACGCTGACAGTTCTGTACTGGAATTGTGAAGTTATAAATATTTTAAGCATAATAATAAGCATAACGATATGGAGTGGTGAGTTCATTCCGTACCATTTTCTTTCCTAGAAAATAACCCAGTGCCTCAATAATTCCACTTTTTAAGACCAGGTAAATCCCACAGCCTTGCTAGGAAAAACTACAGAATCTTGTGACTATGGAAGATTGAACCTAAACTACTGACTCTTGCAATTAACTAGAGTAGCAAGAAACTGCTAAAGGCATAGAATGAAAGTTAAATGCATTCGGAAAAAAAAAATGCCTGAAGAAAATAAAATAAAATGGGATGAATTCCATAGGGGGGGGAATAAATAAGAATGTTGAATTAAGAATTGACATCACAGCACTCAGGACACCCCCATAAGCGCTCCATCCCCATCTTCAGCAGCAAGCAAAGAGTTAAAATTCCAATGATACCATTAACTGTCTGATTGTATATCCGTCTCGCCCTTCCCCTGAATGTCAAGCGTCCGCCATATCCCTTTGGAACTCCTCACAGTACTATTCTCCTCAGATTGTAATGATATATCTGTACCTCTGCACTGTTCACTCGCTCCCCAAAGGCTCTCACAACATCCAGCTTGTCATACATCAGTTCACCACCAAGTGGTGCAGAACCCGGCAGTCTATCTGCCTACTCATTTCCCAACACAACGGCATAACCTGGAGAAAATATCCAAAGGATGCTAACTACCCGGGACCTTTGAAGTGATGCTTGCCACTCTGCACGGAGCATACCTGTCTCCACCTTTTTCAACGTAATCTGAGAGTCAGTTACAATCATAGCTTGTGTGTACAGCTGATTTTCAAGCCAGCAGTGACTGCCTCCACCTTCATTCTCAAACTAGACGTTGTGATATCATATGCCAGGCTTTGTTGCACCAAGCGACGTCCATTCGCCTTTGCTATGGACCCCCATGCACTTCGCCTGCCCTTCAACACAGAGCCATCTGTATAGACAATCACATCACCTAGGCGGGAATTTTCATGAATCATTTGTTAAACTTCTGATTCTGCAGCACCAGCTGGCCGGTCCCTGCACTCACGTCCCAAAGTGATTAGAACACTACAAAAGTCTGAAACTTGCTCGGACACTTTGACCCACTCCTCTCCTCGCCTAAATTTATCAAGCCTGCACACATTCCCAATTGTGTCTTCTGTTTGCGCCAGCCAAGACTTTCCTCTTTTCAGTCTGTGACCCTTAGCTTTGTCCAAGGGTTCATGCAGGTGGTGCCTCTTATCCGCAGCTAATCTGAGATATGACTTTGCTTGCAGAACTTGGAGCCTATCTGCAATAGTAGTCAGTGCAAGTATATATCACATACATACAACCGAGGTATCTCTTGTACATCCCAGAATCACCCTCATGGCTTCATTCTGTATGATTTAAAGTTTCATCAGCTGACTTTTTGATATGGTAAGCACGCTAAGTCCATAATAATTCCATGTCCATTGCTGTCATAATCTTGAGAGCATTGAGTCCTTTTTGGCATTTCACCTAAACTGCCTCCACATGATCCCTGAAGGACAGGCTTCTATCGAAAATGATACCCAGGTACCTCAGTTTGCTTTCTGTTTTGATATTACTGTTTGTGAAGTTTGGAACGTTAACAATTCTATTGTCCAGAGAGCACCACAAAACAGCTGCCTTGTCGCCCATTACTCCCCTGCCAATATGCAAGAACATCATCAGCTAATGTCAATATTCTTCCAACACCTGGTGATTGCAGTTATGCAATCTTGTTTGCATACACATTAAAGAGCATTGGTGAAATTGCAGAACCCTGAGATAGTCCCGGGGCTATATTACATGGTATGAGGTCCATGTACCTAGTGAAGGGCAACCATATGTGAATGCAGGACAGCTGCTATCCAGTTCACAAACCCCCTTCTCTATGAGTGCAGAAATCAAAATATCATATCTGACTCTATTGTAGGCCTCCTCAAGATAAGAGAAATGTCTGGGCAAGGTATCTAGTATCAACAGACAAGATGGTGCTTAACTGGACACATTCTGAGAAAAGATGAACAGAGAGTCACCAAACATGTCCCGAAATGGAAAATAGATGCATTGAGAAAACAAGGATATCAATGAGAAACCCTAAAATGAACATTAGTGAGAGAAGCTAAAGGTGCTGGCATGATTCTATCCATGATATCGGAAGTGATTGCTCGGAATAAAATGAAATGGAGAATAGGCTGCGAGCCCTATGTGACATATAATGGCTTTAGAGTTGAGTTGATTCAAGAATTGACATCACAACACTCAGGGTATTCCCAGCGCAGAGTTCCAATACTGATGGTACCGGTCACAATCTGGTTAAAAGTCCGTCTTGCCTTTCCTCTGAGTGTAGTGAGCCGGCCAGACCCTCTAGTTACCCCGGGTGCCACATTCTCTCCAGGCCATAATAATTTTCTTTCTCTACTGATTCCGTTACTTGTTCCCAAAGGACCTTGGCCACATCCGCCTGGTCATGTATAAATTCACCACCCAGTGGTGCGGATCCAGCCAATCTGTCTGTCTGTTCATTACCCACCACGCCGGTATGGCCCGGAGAAAAGATCCAAAGTATGCTCACCACCCGTGACCTTTCCAGTGAAGCTAGCCACTCTCGAAGCATCCCTGTCTTCCCCTCTTCAGCAATCTTTCAGTCTTACAATTACGACATCTTGTTTTCTATCCACCGGAGAGCTGCGGTTACCGCTTCCACCTCCATTATCATGCTAGATCTGTTGGTGTCGTATGCTAGGTTGTCTTGCACTAAAGATTTTCCATTCAGATCTTATGTAGTCCCTGGGTGGATTCCAGGGTTCTCATTGGGGACCCACTGTCCCCTATCATGTAAAAGGCGACTAATTATAAAATTTCTGAAACGGGATGTTAGGCTAAAGGGGAAAATATTATAGCCTAGCTGTAAACTAAAACACACTGTGTCAACCGCCCTTTTAGGGGTGAACTTAGAAGAAGATATACTTTGTTAACTTATTCATAATTTGTTGTATTTTACCCTCTTGAAATGCTTCTTACGATATTTAGATAATGATTGAATACACCACGGAGGTAATATTCTAGGCTACAAGTTATCTGAAAACAAGAGGATGCTCAGTATTAATTATGTGGATGCCAGCACATGTTGGAATTGAAGGAAATGAAGTGGCAGAGAGGCGTCAGCAGTATAAGCAAGGATGCAAGCCCAGGAACGAAAATATGTGTTAGAAAAACGAATTATTCTTTGCTTATGAACAGGCCTTGATAGATACAGTCATGAAATTGCAACAGTATCCTTGGGAGGGGGGGGAGGGGGCGTTCACAGGCTATACACCCCAGCGGACAGTTATGGTTGTTTGCCCATTTCTGGACTCTAGTGCTGTTCCAGAAGCTGAGTGTTGAGTGCACATCCATTTCACAGATCAGCCTCGTTTTTTCAGACTGTTAGTTTCTTGCCTCTCAGGCAGATGCGTTCTTAGAAGGAAGCACCTAGTTGTATATACGTAATTGACTCTTACGACATGCGTTAGGTGCGGTAGTGGGTCTATTCTTGTTTTCCCCTCATCGGGGCCCCGGAACCCACAAGGGGAGCAAGAGAATCTAACATCTATGAATGATGAATGTACACAAAATAATATGAAAATCAACACTGAAAATAAAGAAGTAATGTCAATAGAAAGAAAGAAGCAGAAACTACTAAATATAGCAGTAGAGTACACATGCATTGAACAAGAATTGTTGTTTAAAAAGCTGAGAATAATATTCACAGAAGAAGGCAAATAGTAGAAGAAATTATCAGATGCAGTGAAGCAAACCAAGTTTTGGGTCAGCTAGCTCCCTCTTAGTTTCTTTCAGGCAGACCCTGATGAGAGCGACGTTCTGCAAAGGACCTGCTACATGATGATGATGAGCTCGCTCTCACAGCATAAGACAATCCCAGTCAGCGCTAAGAGACATCTCATACAAAGCATAGTAATTCCCATTCTATGCTGCCAGTGCCAGACATGGTCACTCATAACAAAACAGAATGCTTCCAGGGAGGCAGGGTGAGATTTGAGAAGGGCTGCAGAAATGACTAGAAAAGATGAAATCAGAAATTATGTCAAAAGAGAAAAGGTCAGCACAGAACCAGCTCTAAATTACCCCCAAAAACAGCAAATCAAATAGTTTGCTCACTTAGAGACAATGTCTTGTGACACTATACCATATAAGACATACACCAGAAGAGGAGCAGATGAAGTCTATGGTCGAGGTGGCCAGAAGAGCAAAAAGCAAAACCTTATATCTCCTTCGATACTCAGAGCAGTAAAGTAGGAAATAGAGACTCGTGTAGTGCTGATGCTATCCAAGTGGACAGAGCCAAATTCTGTCCTGATCGACGACGAAGTTGTCTACCGGCGAGCCAATGGGCGATCCCGGTCGCAGATGTGCATTTTCAATTAAAAGTAGACTTTGCACTGTATAAAGTCAGCGCCGCTTACAATTTTCGAGTACGGCATTTCTTCCCCAAGGACACCATTCATCAGTTCCTGTTGTGAGTGAACGAAGACTTTTCTCTATTTCGGATTTCTGTTGACAACCTTCAAACAGCAATCAGTTAATGCAAACAGCGCTTTGCAGGAATGGGTAGCTGGCATTTAGAGATTTTTAAGGTACAAAAATTATTTTTGAAAGGTGCAATGTAATATTTTGAATAATAATTAGATAATTATTCCATCCCACACGAACATTACACTGATTACAGCAACCGTCCTCGTCCTTTCCATAATATTAATAATAATAACATTATGTAATAAAATAACAGTAACAGTAATTGAACTAATTAATAATAATGAAATCCAAACACGTCAGTTAGTTGATAGTTGTAATTTAAGGAATGAGGCTTTCTTTCAGTTGTTACTCATAGTTGTACTTTCTAAGACTTAACAATGAGATGCTGGTACTCCTGTCAAATCCGGACGAAGACTAAAAAGCCTTGGACGACTTAGTCAGAGTTCTCTCCCTTGGCCGCACTGCGAACAGTGATCGGAAAAGCCAACGAAACAAAGAAGACAGTCACGTCGACATCAGGGCTGCCAATGCTTGGTTGTTTCCCCCAGATCTGGGTTTTTTTCGATGCTGCAGGACAATTCTGGTTTTTTTTGGGTGTGTTGTTGTTGTGTTTGTTGGTTTTTGCCGATTTGTATGCTTTAATGATCGCTAAATTTGCGTGGTTAGGGGTAGGGGTTAGGGCTAGGGAGTAGGATTAGGATTAGGGTTAGCGGTAGGGTTAAGTTTAGCGTTAGATTTGACAATTTTGACGCCAGAGTTCCCTATAATCGCGCACAGTCCCATACACACACAAACAATCGAGGGCCTCTGGATGCTTTTCAAACGCACATTTCGCCAACGATTGGGGCACCAGCCGCACGCTATTGGCGTCATATTTGGCAAAGTTTCAGTGGCGCCACTCCCACAAACATCAGATTGTCGGCCAGTATTTCGAAATCCTACGTCAAAATTTTCACATCTATCCCTAACCCTAACCCCAACCCTAACCCTACCCCTAACCCTAACTCTAACCCTACCCCTAATCCTAACCCTACCCCTAACCCTAACCCTACCCCTAACTCTAAACCCTAACCCTACCCCTAACTCTAACCCTACCCCTAACTCTAACCCTACCCCTAACTCTAACCCTACCCCTAACTCAAACCCAAACACTACGCATCCCTACACGCAACCGTATGATGACTACGCAACCCTTCACGATGCCTCACGCAACCGTATGATGACTACGCAACCCTTCACGATGCCTCACGCAACCGTACGCAGCCCTACACGCAACCGTATGATGATAGGTAAGTGTGTCGTTTGTTTCGTTGTGGCTTTTCCGATCACTGTTTGCAGTGCGGCCAAGGAAGAGAACTCTAACTAAGTCGTCCAAGGCTTTTTATTCTTCGTCCGGATTTGACAGGAGAGCCAGATGCTGATGATGAGATCTCGATTTGCTAGATTGTTTGTTCTAAGACCAGATGCAAAGAATTTGAAATATTTTTACGGAAAACTATAAAAATATAAACAACATCTAATTATATATATATATATATATATATATATATATATATATATATATATATATATATATATATATATATATATATATATACCTGACACCCCCACCCGCACATAATTTGAAAAAAAGGGGGAGGGGGCGGGTGGGAGTGTACCCCCAGTAATTATGTTAATGTAAAGAGACTGACTAAGCTTACTTATTCAGTTATAGAAATTATCATTAAAAGTACATTTAAGATTATTTTAAGTACTGCATTTATTTGCCATTCAGTATAATAATTAAACTTGAGTGACAAATAAATGTAACAGTATGCATAGAACATAATAATATACATGGAACATAGGCACTGGAACACAGGTGACAAATACTTATAATAATATACATGGAACATAGGCGCTAGAACACAGGTGACAAATACAAATAATAATATACATGGAACATAGGCACTGGAACACAGGTGACAAATACATATAATAATATGCATGGAACATAGGCACTGGGACACAGGTGACAGATACATATAATAATATACATGGAACATAGGCACTGGAACACAAGTGACAAATACATATAATAATATACATAGAACATAGGCACTGGAACACAGGTGACAAATACATATAATAATATACATGGAACATAGGCACTGGAACACGGGTGACAAATACATATAATAATATACATGGAACATAGGCACTGGAACACAAGTGACAAATACATATAATAATATACATGGAACATAGGCACTGGAACACGGGTGACAAATACATATAATAATATACATGGGACATAGGCACTGGAACACAAGTGACAAATACATATAATAATATACATGGGACATAGGCACTTGAACACAAGTGACAAATACATATAATAATTTACATGAGACATAGGCACTGGAACACATGTGACAAATACATATAATAATATACATAGAACATAGGCACTGGAACACAGGTGACAAATACATATAATAATATACATGGAACATAGGCACTGGAACACAAGTGACAAATACATATAATAATATACATGGGACATAGGCACTGGAACACAGGTGACAAATACATAAAATAATATACATGGAACATAGGCACTGGAACACAAGTGACAAATACATATAATAATATACATGGAACATAGGCATTGGAACACAAGTGACAAATACATATAATAATATACATAGAACATAGGCACTGGAACACAGGTGACAAATACATATAATAATATACATGGAACATAGGCACTGGAACACAGGTGACAAATACATATAATAATATACATAGAACATAGGCACTGGAACACAGGTGACAAATACATATAATAATATACATGGAACATAGGCACTGGAACACAAGTGACAAATACATATAATAATATACATGGAACATAGGCATTGGAACACAAGTGACAAATACATATAATAATATACATGGAACATAGCCACTGGAATGTGGGTGACAAATACATATAATGATAAACATGGAACTTTAGAATTCTTATACATCAATATTTAAATGAAGTGAATCTGGCCAAGCTGTTTCAGTGTTGGGCTGTCATGCGGCAGACCTGGGTTTGACCTCAGTAAGGTGATGGGATTTTTCATTTGTGGCCATCCTCACCTGCACGGTCCATGGTGACAGCACCAGCCACACAGTCCTAAATTCTCAGGCTTCGTCTATACCAGCCTAAAAAGGGATATATATATAGACAGTAGTGACAGTGTTTAGAACATTTGACCTGCATTTAACACATTGTTTTCCCAGATGGCTGTGTACATTGGCTTTCCTGTTGGATTGTTTTATTGTTTCAACCAGCCATATTTCTTTGAGAGTTGGATGATGGAAAAGAGAGTAAGTAATGCTAATTTGTAGTTTATTTATATCATCTCTGCATGTCACAGTGTTTGAAAATTCTTTTGCTGCTGACTTTTTGTTAAAAACTTGTTATTTGCTTAACTAGAAAATATTAACTGCAGAATTTATCTGTGTAACTTACAAGTCAGAAGTCAAAACAGCCTAAAATGAAATATAAAATGTCCTGAGAAGCAAAGAGAGCTGATATGGTGTTGAACATATTTCCCATAAAGTGTAAGTTGGTCTGTAAAAATATGGGTTTAGCACCATATATTCAGTGCACCACTTACACAGTTGAGTTTTTGGAATAGTAAATAATTTCATTCATAGTTCACCTGACAGTGAACAGAAGGGAACAGCACTAGAACATATTTGCAGTCACGTTTTTTGTTTAATGTTTGTTAGGATCATTCTTTTCAAATGTTTATTATTGTACCTTATTTTAACTTTGGTTCAACATGTTTTACAAATGCCCGATTGAAAATCATTTCATGGTGGTGTAATATCTAGCATAAGAATAAATTTTGGCACTTGTAGTTTTTAAGTTTCCTGGAAAAAAAAAAAAATACATAAAACTCAGCAGCAGTGCATGCATGTAACTGAAGGAAGTATGCTGGATAACTGATTCGAGAAGCACTAGTTTCAGGTATAAGCTTCGTCCAGTATTCATTTTACAGTTTGAGGAGCCTGAGGATGTTATTCTTCTTCTTGATTCTTGGATATTCAATTGAATGTCTAGCCGTTTCAAACAGTGGCTAAACATCTGGGGTACCCGTGTGCATGCATGATTAACTGTCTTGCTGACTAGCGTGATTGATCTTATTTTTTCAGAATTTGCCATCTCCAACAGCGCATACAGTTCATATACTGTCAACATTCCATGACAAAAGTCTGTCAAAAATCTTATGATATTGTCTTCCTCTCTCTCTTTCCACAAATCTGTACAGTTCTCATAACATGGCCAAAGAGTGATGACTGTCTCTTTCTGATATTTGCGATAAGTTGCCTTTGGGCTCTTGCCGCTTTCAGAAACATCTGGGTTACTCATTTTAGCTTTCTTAGGACTGCTAGTTAAAAACCCCTAATATCTGGAAATCATTGAAATAAAAAAGCCAAATACATCACCATCCTGGTTGGATTTCAAATGGGAAAAACCTGCCCACAACAGAATATTTAAAGTAAGCACATTGGTATCCTTGCTAGTGGTGTGGAGTTGATGCACTGTACTTTATGGTAGTCAACACTAATTTCAGTGGTGATAAAAATGGCCCATCCAGCTAATGAATGTGATAAAATTATGTTTTGTTTCAGGCTAAAATCTTTCCACCCACAGACCCAGAAGTGGTAAGCAGTTTCATTGTTTTTTTTTTTTAAATAAAAGTAATGCAAACCAGGCACAGCAACAGATGTATAGAATTGTGTTAGGTACAGTATGAGAGCATGAGGGTAAATTGATACAGATGCTTTTGTTGGTAATAATATGCTAACATACCCATATATATTGGTATCCTAGGTACTAGGTATTGTTGTATAATTTCATTCAAGGTGGAAATGTTCCTTGGATTTTAATCAACCTAGTCTCATGAAATATGCACCTGAATATTTTATGGTAAGTAGAGCCTAAAATTAATGCCAGGTAATGCCTAAGGAACTAAACATGGCTGTCATGATCACATCACCTATTTCTAATTGACTGTAAAAATAAATGTCTGTGCCAGAAGGGCAAAAGGGTCCTTTGCTTTTTACTTACTTTGATGTAGGTGTTATACTGGCTGCAGCAGCCAACTGTAAAAAAAAAAAAAACATTCCCATACATATTGTGAGGACATGGAAACAGACACCTCTGTCTTGTTTACCATTGCACACTGTGTTTGTAGCATTAATATTTTGTTTTGAAGCATACTTTCCTTTTCTTTACAGAGCATTGCAAAACTTATACAGTGGAACTCGAACGTTCATCCACACCAATATTCGTCTTTTTAAAAATTTGCCCAGTTTTTCCTTGACATTTTTGTTTGATTTTTGCCTGAACACTTTTGTGACAAAATTTGATAATCTGCTCAATCCCTTGGTAACCAAGATTAGTATGGCTTTTAGCCGACACTAGTGTTGTTTTCAGTGACATTTTGTTAATTTTTTGTTATAAGCGCATATTCAGCCTCTTCCTCATGTCTGATGACGGAACCAGACTCGTAGTATTGATGATTCTGCCAACGAATGTAGCGCTGAAAGCGATAATTCCTGGGTAAGATGAGAAACCCCAGTGAATATTATTATCATATCACAACTGAAAATAGTGACAGCTATAATAGACTTGATGAGGGAGGTGATGTAGGTACATCTGAAGAAAGAAGTGGGCATGGCACACAAGACCAGAACATTTCTAGAGCTGAAAATGCTGTTTGGAAATGGAGAAAGGCTGTTCCAAATGAACTTGTTAAGCTTGACAATCTTCCTTCATACAAAGAACGACAAAGTGCAATGTCAGACACAGCTGAGAGCATGCCGATTGCTTTTTTGAAGAAACAGCTGAAACTGAAAAATGTAGATTATCCTGTGTTTTGTGCGACAGAAGTTAAAGGCATGTTGGCACTTACCTGGCCTGACACTAAGAAAGTTAACCTGATATCCACTGTTTACCAATGATGTTATGGGCAAGACAGGAAAGAGAAAAAGAGGGCTGAATAATAAACAAGCCAGTTCTTGCAGAAAAATACAACAACAGTATAGAGGGAAAAAGGGGTGTGGGGGGTGCAAGCTACCCCTGCCTCATCATCATCATCAGACGCTCATGCGTCTCCACAGATCACGACCCCTGATTGCCTGGAACAGCTCTCTTGATGATATCCCTCCATTCCATCATTTCAGCCCATCCAGCATCATCTCTCTTGGTCTGCCTCTGCCCCCTTTTTCACTGATCTTTCCAGTTGTCACTTTGTTCTCCAATATCTCTCTTCTCATTATGTGGCCAAAGAACAGAGTTTGTCTCCTTCTTATTGTTGTATATAGAGATCTACTTTCATTAGCTTCTTTCCCTGCCCACACAGTCCAGTAAATGGTACCTGCTCTTATATTATTTTTTTAATAATTGAAACTGCTGTGATCAGTGGGCATATAAGCTACAACACTGCCAACTCTACGAATAAGATCACAGAAAAAAAGGTTAAGGCAGGATGTCAGTCTTTCTCTTATCAGACCTACTGTTCTTCGGCACAGTGTAACACATTACTGAACACAGTCACAACATCACGACTTACTTAATGTCATTTTATTGAAAAATATGAAATCCAAGGTGCAAAGCAGACTGTAAAGTACGTAAGGCTGCAGGTAAAAGAAGCCAGTCTTGCATGTACTGCCCAGATTGCAGTACACATGTGTGCTTGACACCCAGTTTCAGGCTATACCATACAGTTGAGGATTATCACTGTTCCAGACAAAGACTTTTGCAGAGGTCTACAGCTACAGCTTCAACTCCAGTTAATGAAGGAAGAAGCTCAGACTTCAATTAGAGGTGCTTTAATAATCAAGCCTTCACAAATACTCACTGTAACATGCCAAGTAAACACAATAAACAAAAACAAATACATTTTTGTTTAATTCTATTATTTTTATTAGCTGTTAATTTTGAAATATTTAGTCAATCGTTAAATAAATGCTCCTACTGAGCTTGTTTTATTCATCGCCAACCATGTCCCCAACATTTTATTGCACTGACATTGAATAAATTCACTGAAAACTAGAATAACAAAACATCATCTCACATTTCTAAAAAAAAATAGCTAAACAAATTCAAGATGGCTGACATGATCATGTAACATATTTGGATAATATCTATTTTTTCATGTGTAGCAACCATTTGTAATGGTGCTCTGAAGGTTTCAAAACCCTATGCTCATTTTTTTAAATTGAATTTTATTAGAAAACGAATCATTTTGAAAAAATAAATCTGCAAACACCCTTGGTAATGGGAGACAGTAATGCACAAGATTGCTATAGTTCGTTCATCTCATGAACACTTTTATGCTATTTCCTCAAAAACTGCCTCTTAGATCGATTTTTTTTCATGCAGCCTTAGAATATCCATGACCAAAAAAAATGGTATTCTTTAACTCTTTGAGTCCCAAGGAACGCATCATATGTTCATAGGTTCCTACCTAGAAGCCCAATGAACTACCCCTTGGGCCTATGATGCTAAACACTCTGGGAGTCAAAGAGTTAAGTCTATAGATGCTCAGTACCATTCAGTCCCTTTGATCTTTTCAAACCACTGTAAATAAGTGAAAATCTGAATTTTCAGTTCTGTTTTTTGTTGTTGTTGTCAGAGGCGTGTCTTCATAATACATTGATAGGTGAAGTAAATTTATTTGTTGTCATTTATGTTCAACTGAGTTGAGCTGAGTCAACAGAGACATCACAGGCAGTGCCATCACAGCACTCAGGGCATTCCCATATGTGCTCCGTCCGCATCTTCAGCAGCCATTGCAGAGTTCCAATACTGGTACTGGACGCAGTCTGATTATATGTCCATCTTGCCATTCCTCTGAGTGTAGTGTGCCGGCCAGGCCTCTTGTCACACCCAGGTGTATCATTCTCTCCAGGCCATGATAATATATTTTCTCTTCTGACTTCATTACTTGTTCCCAAAGAGCCTTGGCCAAATCTGCCTTGGCATGTATCGATTCACCACCCAGTGATGCAGATTCAACCAATCTGTCTGCCTTGTTCAATTTTAAACATGTTCCCATATGCAAAATTTAGTATTCCCCTTCAGTCACCATTAGACCCCACCTTGTATCTTACCTGCATCTACATCAGAGTCGTCAACTTTCCTTTTCTTACTTTGCTTGACATGAGTGTACTCTGTGTCCTGTCTAATCCAATGGTTAAATGATGCTCTATCCAGATCAAGCACCAATCCTGTTTTTTTCTCTGGGTTCTGAATATCACAGTATAAATGACCCATTGTAGATTTCCCGAGGAAGTGCTTGTACAGTAAAAGGTAACCTTCTGCATAGTTATAAATATGTATCTCAAATTAATTTTGAAATTGATGTCTGTGTCAGCTAGCTTTATGTCACAATAACTAAACACTAATTTATGGATGCGCCTTTGACTAAACAACCTTGACCAACGTCTTAGTTTGGTGCGAGGTCACTAAGAGTGCGACTTTGCACGAGAAAATCATGAAATTGCCTAGGTTTCCTTTGACACACTGTTAAACCAGCCATAGGGTGCATTACTTCCTGAAACTGTTGTTGTTATCGATCCAGCGGCGCATGAGCTTTGGCCCCATGCCATATAGTGGAATTTGCATGTTTTCACAAGCTGTTCTTTTCCTCCGTACAAGGTGTTCCACTTGTCTGGTATTGGAGGCAGTAGCATTCTTCTAGTCTCCTGAAACTAATGAAAGTAAAACTTCCAAAAGTCTACCAAGACGGTTTCATGATAAATATATATATATCGTAATAAAGACAGAAACAACATGATATTCTTCTTTAGTGAAAAAATATTTCCTCAACGTCATGGATATTCTAAGGCTGCATGCAAAAAATAATTGCGATATAACGGGCAGTTTTCAAGAAAATGGCTTGTATGTGTGTTTATCTATTGTTAAACGAACTATAGTCAGCAATGTGTTAAAGTCAATATTTGTCCCTTCTCGGATGTGGCCAGCCAGTTCTACTGTAATCCTGGTTTTGTGGACTCCTGTCTTGTGTATGGTCACTGTTTCTGTTACAGATGTTCTTCCATGACTTGATGGGAAACTGTCCAACGTGTTTTATGTTGGTCTCCTCCCAGCATCTCTTCTACTCCAACTGTTCTGTTTGAAGTAGCTACTGGTGTGACTGGGGGAGGGGGTGGGGCAGTAGTAGCTTAGTGTTGAAGAGCGTTGGTAACATAAATAACATGAAAAAATAAATGATTTTGAAAGACCAGTGACCAGTTATGCCAGTTCAATGTGTGTAAAAGAGTTAAACACATTTTGGTTATTCAATTTTTCATTGAATCTTTCTGTTTGTTCCACTACAGAAAATGTTTTCCAGAAGTCTCTGAATCAGTTTTATATAAAAAAAGTGACAGACAGCCAAATAAGTTTGGAAATCTGTTATTTACATTAACAGAAATAGTTTTTTTTATCCTTTGACTAAAATTTGTCCAGTTGCTTGTGACAAGGAAAATGGCAGAAGTCTTGTACGAGATTTAGACATCCATTGTGAGGTATAGGATATCCTTTTACATACACCACAATGATCTGATCTGTTCCCCATGTGTATGACTGAAATTGCCACACAGCATAGTAATATTAAAACCTTGAGATGTTTTTATTGCAGATTGTATTTTTTTTTTTTTTTTTCAGATGAAAATATTTGATGAACTTAAACGAAAAATGGAATTAAAACAAGAACAAGAATGGATTGCAGCACAGGAGACTAGAAAAGTGTAGTGTTAATGAAACATAACAGTTTCTTTAATTTTACTGAATTATTTAAGTTTGCTATGTTGGGGTGAGAGGATGTGTGCTAGTGTGGGGTAATAAAGGATGCAACTTGTGATGTGGGGAGAGGATGTGTGCAAGTATGTTGGAATAAAAGAAGCAACTTGTGATGCAGACAAGCAGCTGAATGATTTTGAATATTATGTGATGATATGATTGTGAATTACATTTATTGTTAAAGTTCTGCAGTCTATTTGTTATTTTGTGAATACATTAGGTGACGTTGGTGTACATGTAACCTGATCTTATGCTTTTAGTCTTTCTTCTTCTTCTTCTTCACGTTCACCAGCTGTAAAGTTCTGGTTGTTCATCCACTTCTGGACTGCAGTCCTGTTCCAGAACCTAAGTGTTGCGCGTGCATCTGTTCAACAGATCTGACTCATTTGTATACAGACTACTGGTTCCTTGCCTATCAGGCAGATGCACTCTGACTTCAAAGAGAGCTCCCAATTAGTCGACTCTTACGACATGCTTTTGGGTAGGCAGTGGGTCTATTCTTGTTTTCCCCGATAACAGGGCCCCATAACCCACACAGGGATATGCTTTTAATAAGTATGGGCCTTTCTCAAGCCATTGGTGCATTGGGCACATGGTGCTAGACCATTATTTGTAATGACTCATTCAGCACTAGTTGGTAATGTGAACATCACACCAGCTGCCTTTACTTCCCAGGTCAATATATGTTTTAGGTTGGGTGAACTTTTTTTCTTCTAAATATGTTTTTCTAACTATATTGTCAAAAACAAACTTCTGAGCGCATACTGTGATCAACCAGACTTGTATATGAAAACAAATGTAAATATTAAACCACAGAGTATACAAATTAGTTTGTAAAATATTCACTCTACAAGTCTACACTCTGATTTGGTCAGCAGATCCCACTTTATGTAAGACCCCTTGTCCCTCTCCCAGCTGGCAGGCAATGACTCTTATACCTTATCAATCAATCCTGGACCCAGGGACTACTTCCAGAGGAAGGAAAACCCAAGGAAAACAAATTTAGTTACCGCCCCATAAGCTGCCTTGGAAAGATCAGTGAACTATAGGTTACTTAATTTGCTGGAAGAAAACAAGACATTAGATGACAGCCAATCAGGCTTCAGGAAATACAAAAACACTGATGACCAAACCTCTTATCTCACACAGGAAATTGAAGATGCTTTCCAGAAAAAATACAAACTAATAGCTACTTTCTTTGACCTGACTAAAGTATTTGATAAGGTCTGGAAGAAAGGACTCTTGCTAGAACTAGCACACTGGGATAAAAGGGCAAGGAATTCCAGAGAAATTTGACTAAAAAGCTCAACAAAATGGGGAAGCAGAAAAACTTGCACAAAACAACACAATGTAACGTTTTGGCCGGGCAGCCTTTTTCAAACATAAATGAACTACACAAACGTAACAACGAGGAGAGGAGAGTATGTAGATCTCTGAGGGGTGACGTGAGCAACGTTAAAAAAAATGTGATGTGGAATAAATGAAATAAAATAAATGATGGCTAAAAAATATAGTCACAAAAAAATAATAAACAGTAGTATTGTTAATATATAATATAATACTGGGAATAAAAGAAATACAAATGTTAATGATACATAAATGATACTGATAAAAAATAGAATAAAATAATCATATGAAATAAAATAAGAGAAAATAAAATAATCAACATTTAAAATGTGATAAGACTAGAACTATTTAGATAAAGATATGTTGGATATTGATACTACCTGGACTAAGAACACTTCAGAAAATCGCCTCATCCACAGCCTAGGCATGCACCTCAAAAAGACTAAACAAATTTCAGAGCATAGCAGCAAGCAATTATTGATGCATCTAAAGTGCTTGAGAAAAGAAAAATTAAAAACAACAAAATTGTTTTTTTTGTGTGACTGCATGCCAGTCCTCCAGGCGACTCATAGGGATCCATGAGACAATATGGAGAGAAAACTGACCCGCCAGCTAAACAGACTTTCAGAAAACAATCGTTCTCCAGTGGATCCTGGCTCACTGCAGCAAAACAGGAAATGGGTTAGCAGACAGACTTGCTAAAAATGGAACAAAGAAGAAAAAACACCCATTCACTGTCATTACCAGAAATCAAAATACTCATCAAAGGAAATACAAGGAATTGTGGAGAGGAAAAACCAACAGCAAACATGCACAAGACCCCCATCAGCAGTCTTGACAGAAAGCAACATACAACAATTTTCTGTCTACTAACAGGACACTGCAGGCTCAACTACCACATGCATAAAATAAAGATTGTACAGTCCCCACAGTGTGCCTGCAAAGCAAGCTATGGTGAACCATGCAGGACCTGATGCTGACATGCGAGTTCAATGAGGCAACCCACCCAATGGTCTGATATGAGCATACGAAACCGAACGCAAAGAAGAAGAAGACATGCAATCAGTCTACTTCTGTCACCATCAGAATTGAAATAAAGGATCTCTGTTGCAAAGTGATGAGGCTGTTTGCCTTTTGCTCTGAAGGTAATGAAGTCATTTTTTAAACTGCTTAGTTGGATTCACAGGTGCATATTTTTGTGTGTGTGAAGATTCAGGGCACCATAACTGGAGCTATGGAGACAGTACTGTTTGGGGGAAACTCCTTTAATTGTTGGGATTTTAAACAAAACAATGAAAACAAATGTTACAAATTTATGGAGAAAGAAAAACACACACAAAATTTCAACACTGTAGTAGTAACAATTATTATTTCAGAAAGACTTATGAAAAACAATATCTATATAGCTTTTTACATTTTTGTTTTCTTTCTCTTAAAGTAAAAAAACACACACGCACACTCTATCTCTCTCATGAACCCACACATACAAATAAATTATACTTAATGTGTCACCTTATTCATTATAACTGATGTATGCCACTTTTTATATCACTGCTAAAACTGTAAAGCAAACACATCATCCTTACACTAATGCTGTGGAAAGGATCCATGCTGCAGGGGCAAACACATCATCCTTACACTAATGCTGTGGAAAGGATGGGCTGTGATTTCCATGCCTCTCCCCCCCCCCCCATAAAGTAAAGATCAATTTTCACGCCTTTAGGCGAATCAGGCATGTGGGAAGAACACCCCATATTTTTACAGACCAACCAACGCTAGGTGGGAAATGTGGTCAGCATTAAGCCGGCCATCTTTACTTCCCCAGGACATCTATCCTGGTACCTATTTAAGGCTGGGTTGATCTATGATGCCCCAAGCCATGATAAAAATCCAAGGAGCCAGCAGTGGGTTTCGACCGTAGTACGTTGGAATTACGAGTCCCACTCGCAACGCCTAAGCCAAGGATTTTTTTTTTATGCCCTCTTTAGCACAATACAGTATAACACTATTGTCCAGCAAGGTTGGAGGGTGCCAACAACAAAACTTATATCAAAGCAGGTTTTTCCTATTGTAAATTTGAACAAAGAAGAAACAAACAATAGATTGCACAATTTATTGCCTAATATATTTCGCTGTATCTTATCAGGTGTATGTTACAGTAACAATTAAAAATGTTGAAAGTTTAATTAAAAATCAACATCATAGCACTCCGGACACTCCCATAAGCGCTCTGTCCTCATCTTCAGCTGCAAGCAAAGAGTTCCAATGCCGATGGTACCAGTAACTGCCTCACTATACATCCGTCTCGCTTTCCCTTGAGTGCTGAGCGTTGCAGATCCCCTGGTAACTCCTCGCAGCGCCAATCAGCTCAGACTGTGACGATCTATTTGTGCCCCCTCACACTACAGTAACAATTACATAAATTAAGAAAATAAGTTAATCCTTTATAACAGAAGTACAATTCAACTACAATCAAATGCAACTGCCTGTTTTACCGCAGTGTCACAATCAGAACTATAATCAAATGCAACTGCCTGTTTTACCGCAGTGTCACAATCAGTCTTTTTGTTTTCATAGTCAGGATGCATGTAACGAATCATGCCGGCTTCAAGAAGTCTTAGCGTTCTGCTACTGGCTGACGTGTGAAGGATTTGAAATGTGTTATCACTGGTTACAGTGCGTCCAGATTTTGTAAACAAAAAGTTATATGTAAATAAGAATAAATTTCTTAATATGAGAATGAAGGTTTTGGTCACACTGAATAGCAAGCAATTCATCATAAAATAAAATAATACACAAAAGAATCACATTAACCCATGGCTCAGGCATGGTCACACTGGTCTTAACATGGAAATGGTAACAGTCAGGTTAGGCTAACTGACATAGAATTTGTGAAAGTATAAATTCTACATACAGGTAAAAACTGTATACACAAGGGAGCTGAATGGTCATAGACCATGAGGATGATGGAGCGATAAGGTACAGATAAACCTGCAAACACATGATGTCACCAACTGAAAAGAGAAGGCCAACCAGAGAGATGAGTGGAGGCGGGTGATATCTGCAGAAATGAACTTCAAGGACTCAGAATGCTGAAGAAGATAAATAAAGTCTAGTTAGCAATGCCTTTTGCTAAAATGTAAAGTCTGATTTTATGCAAAGGTTCTTCATCTCATTGGGCAAGGGCAAAGGGCAAAAGCTCATGCACCGCTGGATTGATAACAACAACATTTTAGAGTATGTTAGGGCAGGAGTCTTGGGCCTGTGGATTTGGAATTGCATGGCTGGTGCAGTTTTTCCTGTAGCCTCTGACTGAAAAATATTATATCATCATACTGACACTCAAACCCCAGTCTCCTGAATAAGAGCTCAGTTTTCTAACCGTTCAGCCAGCCACTCCTAAATGGATTAAACTTTAGTGTAAAAGCTACAGTTAATTTAACAGCGAATTAGGACATTTAAATCATTAAAAAAGTAGAACAAATATTTACAATGAAATGCGCTATTGTACAACAAGCAATAGTTTATACAACATAAACGTGAAAGATATGGAAGTAATGCATCATGAATGCAAAGGCTTGACAACAATTATTAGCAATACAAAA